CCTCTCCCCCTCTCCCCACTCCTCTCCCCCTCCCTCTCCAGTCCGAAGAGCAGTCAGGGTTCCCTGCCCTGTGGAAAGTCCAGGATCTTCTCCCCTCCATCCAGGTCTAGGAAGGTGAACATCCAAACTGGCTAGGCTCCCACAAAGCCAGAACATGAAGTAGGAACAAAACCCCATGCCATTGTCCTTGGCTTCTCAGCAGCCCTCATTGTCCGCCATCTTCAGAGAGTCCGGTTTTATCCCATGCTTTTTCCAGGCCATTGTTTTTGTATAGGGCCATGCCATTCCGTCATTATGGTTCTGTGGTGTAGTTAGAACTGAGACATGGAGACCCCTTCAACATAACCGCTTTGGCCTAGAATAGCTTTTTTCACCCTAAATTTAATTACGCTATCCAAGGCCCTAGCTCCAATACGCTCACTCTGGGGGTTAGCTCACCACCTTTCAACTAGGGATAGGACACCAATCAGACTACAGATTTTTCTCAGTATATAGACATGAATTCAGAATAAAGACTAAACATGAAAATAAAACTGAAGGATTAAGAAAAAGAATGAAGATTTTTGTAAAAGTAAAGTTTTCCTTGAATAAGTTACTAAAAGAGTATAAGGAGAATTTTTGAAGAATTTAACCATATCAAAACTCAGGCTTTCTTTGAATAGGGGCCACCATTGGATTATAGTACGGTATTCATATCTATAAGGTTTATTAGCTGGAATATTAAAAGAATCCCAAAGAATGGGGGGGCAAGAACTACCCACCATCCCTACCCCTCATTTCTGCCACCATGTTGGCAAAGGCCACAAGCAGGCAAATCCCAGGGGTGGGAACAAGAGCGATTACCAGCTGTGAGGAGACAGGCTCACCTTAGTGACAACGAGAAGTTCCACATCAAGTGGGGATATCACTCTCTGCCGGGTTCTGCGCCTTGAAAATGTGAAGCGAACATTGGAATCATAGGCCTGGGCAGGGAGGAAAATCACTGCAGGTGGGAACCTTGCAGAACTGAGCAGGATGCCAAGATCTGGTCTTTAAGCAGGTGTGTGTCCCGGAGCAGCAGGTCCGGAGCTAGGTGACTCCAAGGCTGTTCTCTGGAGCATTTTCTGCCTGCAGCCCCGGGCAATGGCAGGGCTAATACTGTCAACTTCACAGGCTCTGGGGTCACCAGGAGACAAGCCTGAGGATATGCTGGAAGAACTGTCTGAGGTAACTTAGTCAGGGGGAGATCTGTCTTTGCTAAGGGCAGCGTCATCCCACGTGCTGAGGTCCTGGATTAAATAAGGAGGAGACAAGGTGGGCATGCACACTCACCAGCCGCTCTACCTCCCGCCTCCACGACTGCTCTGCTCTGGCGGATTGTGCCCTAGAACTGTGAACTAAAGGGAACCTTCCTTAAGGTGCACCCGACCTCGGGAAGAACGGGAAGGGAAAGGTAAACGTGGTGGGTGCACTCAGGTGTAAGTACCCGTGGGATTCCGTGCAGCAGGAAGACCCGGGGAGAGAGTGATGGCAGGATGCAGATGCCCTGACATCTTGTATGAAGACAGCAGAGTTCCCGTCCACCGGACGCCTGCTGCAGTCACCGGCCAAGCCGCTACCATGCAGTCAGACCCAGCTCAAAGGAAGCTACGGATAGGGTCTGTGTCGGAGATGTCTGGCTAAGACTCATAGACATCTGCTAAAACTGTATAGAATTCCACATTCACTCAAGTTTACTTCAATGGTCTGGAGCGGAGCAGCCATCTTAGTCACAAGCCATCTCTTGTGACTAAGAGGAAAAGTAGGAGAACCCCAGACAAGGCCCTGGCCCCAACAGATCTCAACCAACACCAAGAGTTTGCCACTCCTGACTTTTTTTTCCTGTGAAAAATAAAACTGTTTGCTAAGCCACATGCATCCATTAGAGTGCAGCCATAGACAACAAAAACACAACTGGTTAGCTCAGACGGGAAGGGCTGGAGAAGTCAGACGGGAAGGGCTGGAGAAGTAGGCTGCAAGTCTGTAACAACTGCCAGCTTTGCCGTCACATGACCTCTGCCTGCGATTGAGAAATCCACTGTCAGTGCTACAGGAAGCTGATGAATCAGGAAGCTGCAGCAGAGCCGGCCTGTGCTGCCGTGGTCTGTCTCAGCAAGCGGGTGTCCCATGTACATAGCTCTTCTCTGATTTACCTGAAGAGGGCAGAACGTCCTGATCCACAGCTCTGGGACGCTGAGAAGTGCTGACCTAGCTTTCCTGCTTGACAATCTGGGACTGAACCCCCTTATCTCCAGGTCAGACTCACCTCCACACCCCTTCAAACTCCTAATCACATGTGACATCACTAGGACAGGGTTTTAAATCACAGGGTGGGGTGAAAAAACAAACAAACAAGAAGTGCTGTAGCATAATCAGAAACCTGTTAAAGTTGCCAGCCAGTGTGGTGCACATCTTTAATCCCAGCACTCAGGAGGCAGAGGCTGGAGAGTCTCTGTGAGTTCAAGACCAGCCTGGTCTACAGAGTGAGTTCCAGGACAGCCAGGACTACATAGTGAGAATCTGTTTCAAAAAAGAGAGAAAAGAAAAATAAAAACAAATACACAAACCAGGTGTGGTGCTGTGCACCAGTGATCCCAACACTTGAGAGGCAGAGGCAGGTGGATCTGAGTTCGAGGCCAGCCTGAGCTACATAAGATACTTTCTCAAAACAAACAAAAGACCAACAAAACAAATACAAGAGACCAAACAATACCAAAACAAAAACAAATCTCATTTTAATGAAATGTACATGTTCTATGATTATTATATTAATACCAACAGGTGAAGCAAGGAGGAGAAAGCTTCAGGAACCAAGGGAGAGGAAAACAATATGAAGCCAGAAAGAGAAGTCCCCCAGCGCATGCAGTCTGAGCTCCAAGTCATTCAGCTTATCAGTTCCAAAGAGTACAAATCCATTGTTATTTTAATATATCATTTAAATATGTCATATTTCACTTACCACTTCAAATCTAATTCATTAAACTTAATACATCATAATTTCTTTAGCAATAATTTGTAATTTCTTTTGTAAAATTTATTTTTATTTTAATATTTAAGTTTATAGGTGTTTTGGCAGTGTATGTCTGCCACCATGTGAGTGCAGTTACCTACAGAAACCAGAAGAGGGCATGGTATCAGATTACCTGGCCCTGGAGTTACAGCTGTGAGCTGCCCAGTGAGTGCTGGGAGCTGAACCACAGCCTCCTGGAAGAAAAGCCAGTGCTCTTAACTTCTGAGCCACCTCTCCAGCCTCTTGACAACTCTGTGCTTTGATTTCCTTGGGTAAACCCTAGAGCCCACCTCCCCATTCATGTTTATCCAATGCTCGTTCCTCCTCCCAAATCACAGCTGTGTCCTCTTCCCCAAATCTGCTCCCCCGAGGTGGAGGGGCTCTCAGGCTCGGGAGCTGGGTGTAAGACCCTCATGGTGCTCCTCTTGCAACACCACTTCGAAGAGCAGCTGAATTCCTCTGACGACGGTGAGAATGATGGGCCCAGGTGGGTCCACACCCCACTGTGGCCTGGAGAAGCTCCCACCAGGCAGGTCTAGTGGGATCTTAGGGCTGGATGGGGCAACAGCAGACAGGACGGCCACCCTTCCGGCCCCCAATCCCTTCATAACCCGCTTGACCCAGCTCAGCCCCGAGTGTTTATGGCAGCTTTCCGCAGACACAGCCATCTGCCACCCGCCTGCTTCCTGGTGACAGACAGTCCCTCAGCTACTCTGCAGAAGGGCTGATGTGTTTTTGGAGGTGCAGGGTACGCTGAGCCACAGGTCCGCTTGCCAGGATAGTCTTTTGGAGACCCTAGAACCCCCAGGTAAGGTTGGGGGAGGGGAAAATGAGAGCCCCTGTCATGAACGTCCTTGGGAACCTAACCCTCAGTAAGATGCCTGTCTTGTGTCCAGGCAGGGCAAGATACCCATCAGGGTGAAGGCTTTCCCTGGGGAGATGGGTGCAGCTCCAGGGACATCTGCCCAGGATCGCGGGAGAAACTGTTCCTCTACATCCTGTCACAGCTGCCAGCTGACTGCCCCAGACTGGAAACATAGGAGCCGCCATTGACTCAGAAGGGTTGGACATGTCTGAGGCACCATCCTGTTCCAGCAACGAGACTCCTACCCCTGTTTGTGATCTGAAGACCCTGTACTGGGCCTGTGTCCACAATGACCCCACTGAGCTTCAAGCAAGGCTGGATGCCGGGGTCTCCCCAGAGGAGGTTTCCCAGAGGGACAGCAATGGGAGGGTGAGATGTGCAGGGATTAGCAGGGCAGCTGGGGACAGCTCAGCTCCCACCCCCATCCGGGCAGAGAGCTCCAGAGGCTGCTCCCACTCTTTAGGTGGGTTAGACCTGTCTTCACAGGGGTTGGAACAGGCTCTGAGAAGGTGCAGATTTAGAGGGCAAGGGCGGGGTTCCTAAGGAGAACTTAGTGGAAAGTGGGGTCCAAACTGCTCTGTCCCCAGACAGGCCTCATGGTGGCATGCTACCATGGCTTTGGCACCATTGTGGCTCTGCTCAGCTGCTGTCCTTTCCTGGATGTGAACCAACAGGACAAAGACGGAAACACAGCCCTCATGTTGGCTGCTCAAGCAGGTGCAAGACACCCCCACCCCAACCAGCATCCCCTCTCTCACCCCCCCAACTCCATCTCACCCCTGATCTCAGCCATCAGGGCCACAACCCCAAACCTTGCACAAGGGTCTCTCTGTCCCCCTTACCTGGGGATCAGTTCTGCGGTCCTGTCTCTCAGGTCATACGCCTCTGGTGACTCTCCTGCTCAACTACTTCGCTGGCCTGGACCTGGAGCGCAGAGACCAGCGGGGGCTCACAGCTCTGATGAAGGCTGCCATTCGGGACCGCTCCGAGTGTGTGGTTGCCCTTCTCATGGCCGGTGTGTGGCTGTACGCCCTCCGCTACCACCCCACTAGACACCATTTGGTTGCAGCAAGAGAGGAGGGGATGGAATACGGATTGAGGCTACCTTAATAGAGGGGGGTGTTATCACCCCCAGCTCTGTTTATGGAGGTCCCAGCAAAGAGTGCAACATCAGATGGGGAAAAGTTAGGGATGAGGTGACACTTTAAACCAGAATCTTGAGTTCTAGTCCCGGGTTTGCCATTGCCTGAGACCCAGTTGGAGGAACGCGGCCACAGCACGGTGAAGGCTGCCACATCAGGCGGTAGTAGTGGGCGCCGACTCCAGCTCCAAGGCGTGCTTGGTTGTGGCTGGAGCCTTTGATGGAGGACCAGCCTGTCTGTGGAGTTAGGGGCCCTCGTTATTCCCCTTAAGGTGGCTGTCAGCGCCCTCTGCTGGTCTCTGAGGGATCCCTGTCCTTCCCAACCCCAGTGGGTTTAGCAGGGAAGGAAGGGCACCCTATGTCTTTCTCAGCCTGTGCCCCACGCTTCTCAGAGAGCCCTATGAGCTTCTCGGAGACACCATGGGCTCTCCTCAAGTGCCCTCTCCCCGATCTTCTGACTTTGATAGCTTCCTGTCTTTTACACAGAACCTGGGCTTCCAGTCTGGGAGGTGTTTTGAATCTAGCCCGAACCAGCCTTGCTACTGAAGAATGTACCCATGTACAAACTACAGCTCCCTAACTCATCCCTGTCACACGGTTTCGCTTGCAGGTGCTGACCTGAACTCCATGGATCTGGTCCGTGGCAAGACAGCCTTGGAGTGGGCAGTTCTGACTGACAGCTTCAACACAGTGCGGAGGATCCGGCAGCTGCTTAGGCGGCCCCAGGCAGAACAGCTCAGTCTGCAATACCAGCCAGAGTGGCCAGCCTTGGCCCAGCTTGTGGCCCAGGCCCAGGCTGCCCCATCCCTCCTAGAAAGGCTGCAAACTACCCTGAGCCTCTCTTTTGCTGAGTGTCCACAGGAAGGGGGTGTTCTGGACCACTTTGTGACGGTCACCACCAGCTTGGCCAGTCCCTTCCTCACCACAGCCTGCCTCCCACTGTGCCCTGACCACCCACCCAGGCTAGGCACTCGGGGCAAGTCAGTACCCGAGCTGTTGGGTACTGTCCCTGCCCCTCCCCCAGCACCCCATCCTCCTCAGGTTGTCCCTGTTCCCCAGGTCTTTGTCCCCTACCAGAGTCCTCCAAGTCTGCTCTCCCAGTGGCTACAGTCCAGGGACAGTACTGGTACCAGGTCACAAATCCCCAAGATCCTCCTCTCCAAGGCACCCTCTCCCCCTCGGCAGTATGAGTTGATCCTCAGGCCTGCAGGGCCGCGAAGTCTGACTCTTCCCCTGTGGAGATACCAGGAAAGGAAGAAGCAGGAGGAAGAAGCAAAGAACCATGGGGTGGTGGGCTAAGCTAAACTAGAGGCAAGTAAGACGCATCCTTGTCTGGGGCCTCTTCTGCTTCCCTGCTCCCTCTTTCCTCGGGAACCTGCTCCCCCAAATGTCCAGGCTGTCAACAGCAGTGTCTGCAGGAGGGGACAGGAGCACCCGGAGTCTGCCGGCAGGGAACTGGCTACAGTGTTGCGGGGTAATAGCCATACGCTGTATTTTGTGCAGTGTGTCTTAAAGCGGGAGAGCACCAGCTGTTCTCACAAGAAATCTGGCTTCCAGTTGTATCAAGGAAATAACCAAGGGAGAAAAGCGGACATGGCACGGCCCTAGTCAAGGAGAAAATCTCCCTCCGGTGGTCATGTTTGTATCATCTTTATCCTCAACTTCGTAAGATTTATAGTCCCACAAATGACGTGCCAACTGAGGAAGAGAGAACCACCTGAACCCAAGGACTGTCCAACCGACTGGGGCGGCACACTGAATGAAAAGACAGACACCAGCACACGCTTCCCCTGTTACCTGACTGCCTCAAGCCGCTAGGCCTTCCCCTCATGGAGTGAACAAGAAAAGTAATTAATGCAAGGTTACCGAAGACGGATCACGGGATGAGGAGCAAAAGATATTTAACCTCTCAGTAAGTGGAGCGACAGAATGGACCAGAGAAAGAAACGGACTGGGCCAGCAGCATGGGAAGGAGATGGCAAAGTTAGGAGGAAATAAGTTCCCGACTGGCCGTAAAACCTGAACTGGTTTTTACATTTTTACCAAATAAAAATAATTGGAGGGGGAGGTGTAGAGATGGTTCAACAATAAGAGCACTGACTGTTCTTGCACAGGACCCAAGTTTGGTCCCCAGCACCACATTATAGGGGATCTGATGTCCTGTTTGATTTTCTTGGGCACCAGGCACTCTCTTGTGCACAGAGCTATGTGCAGACAAAATACCTATGCACATAAAGTTAAATTTAAAGATGCGATATATTAATAATAAAAATAATAATGATAATAATTTGCTGTTTGTCAATCTTGAGCATCCCGACCCCTTGTTTTACAAAGTCTTGCCCTTAAAGAGCAGAAAACAATATGTTTGCTGCACATAGGACAAAGATCTGTAATTCCAGCTACTCGGGAGGCTGAGACAGGAGCATCATTTGGGCCTGTGAGTTTGAGACCTGTCTGAACAGTACACAGACCCTGTCTAAAGGAAGAGGGAGGGAGGGAGGGAGGGAGGGAGGGAGGGAGGGAGGGATAGGAAAAAACCAGCAATAATAAGTAGGCTGTCAAGAGAAATCACATCCCCCAGGTGGCACCATAGGTGGGGTTATTAGCCAATGATCTGAAAGGGACACTGGGTAACTTTGTGGGGCTTTGTCTGCAAGTTTGAGGTTTTTTCCCCAACACATTTACTGCAGAAATGCAGTCGTATGCTTCTAATAACTACAGCAGCTGGACACATAGTGCCTACTGTACACACACATGCAGAATATAGTGACTACTGTACACACACATGCAGACACATAGTGCCTACTATACACACACATCCAGACATATAGTGCCTACTGTACACACACATGCAGACATATAGTACCTACTGTACACACACATGCAGACATATAGTGCCTACTGTATACACACATGTAGACATATAATGCCTATTGTACACACACGTGCAAATACAAAGTGTATACTGTATGTACACACACATGCAGACATATAGTGCCTACTGTACACACACATGCATATGCAAGGTGCTTACTGTATACACATATGCATACTCAAGGTGCCTACTGTATACATGCATACATTTGACCCTCTCAATGATCCTGCACACTCCAGCTTTAAGGACACGCTGGCGCAGGACTGCCTGGGTTCCACAGCAGAGTGCTAGCCCAAACTGTCCCTTCTGGAGCATCCCAACAAGGAAGCAAGTGTTTTCTAGAAAAGGGCTTACATGCTGGCCAGGAGTGACCAGGCAAAGTTTTCATTATTTTAAAAAATCTTTTGATTAAGACAAGCAACAAAAACTCTGCATTATGGCTGAACATGGTGGCGCATGACTAATACCAGCAGAGGCAGGCACATCAGGGAGTTTGAGGCCAGCCCGGTCTACATAATGAATTCCAGGTCACATGACTACATAGAGAGACCCTGCCTCAATTAAAAAAATAGTTATAACGAAGTACACAGACACCTCAGATTTCCTCGTTGTTACTGTGTCTCCTGCAGTGAGTGAGCCACAACCATGATTAACTCAGCCCTGATTCACACACGTCCCTAGTGTTCTCACCCAGCTTTCTCTCTGCCGCAGGATCCCAGCTGGGATCCTACAAGACAGTCCTTGCTGCTGACAATCCAGACAGCTTTGAGTATTTGATACCAGTAATTCTCTTCCTCCCCTCTCCCTCCCCTTCCCTCTCCTCTTGCTTCCCTCTCTTCTCCCCTCCCCTCCCTTCTCTCCTCTCCTCTCTTCCTCTTTTCTCTTCTCTCCTCCCCTCCCCTCTCCCCTTCCTTCCCTCTCTCCTTTCCTTCCCTCCCCCCCCCCTCCCTCCCTCCCCCCCCCCCCCTCCCCCCTCCTCCCCTCCCCTCTCCTCCCCTTTCTTCTTTCCTTTCCTCTCCTCCCTCTCCTCTTCCTCCCCACTCTTCTCCCTTCTCTTCTCCTCTCCTCCCCTCTCCTCTCCTTTCCCCTTCTCTCTTCTCCTCCCCTTTCTTCTCCTTTTCTCTTATCTCCTCTTCCTCTTTCCCACCTCCATCTTGCTCCATAGCCCAAGGCTGATCTTTTTCTTAGGTCTAGCCTGGGGCTCTGGGTTTAAGGTTTTCAGGAGAAAATGAGAGAAGTAGAGTAATGTAGAGAGGTCAATTCTTATCAGGTGGCACTGGGGTACTTCCTGTGAGCAAGACTTGTCACTTTGTCACTTGCTAGTTTTGATCAGTTGTCCTGTGAACTTAACTTTCCTCACTTCCGGATGGACAGATGGGAGCCCACGCCCAGCAGGCAGGAGTCACATCCCAGCTCCTGGAAGGACCGGTGTCAATCTTAGCACTATTTCTTTGGCTTATGCACAGAGAATTTTGACATTTTAATCATTAATTTTAATTGATTACAAAATTATTCTGTTGTTTGAATAGGAACAATTCACACATGCACACACAAACACACAAACACACACACACACTACTAGTAAAGACAAGTCAGTCTCTCCCAGAAGGCTCTGAAGGCAGCTGCAGAGGGCTGTGCAGGCTAGCGCTGCTGTTCCACACCTGGATGATCCCGAATGAAGCACTTGTTTCTCTTGCTTCTGGACTCACACCTGTGGGAGGGAGAGCCACTGGGTGATGTGGAGAAGGGGTATTAAAGAATTGAGCTGCTTCTGGGCATCCAGGGTAGGTATTCTCCTTTTCCTCCCCATCCAGTACTGAAATCACAGCACATAAGGCAGCCTTGGCAGTGGCCAGCAGAGAAACTATGTCTACAGCCAAGAAAGGCAATGGCGACAAAATGTTGTGGCCCAAGAGTTGTCTTGGGACCCTAGGCAAGTTATTTGACCCTCCTGAACCACACAGATGTAGACAGAAACAATAACAAGCTTAAAGTCTTGACACGTGGCCCGGGAGTTAAGAGCACTTGATGCTTTTCTAGAGGACCCAAGTTCAATTCCCAGCACCCACATGACAGCTCACAACTGTCTGTACTAGTCCCAGGGAATCTGATGCCCTCTCCTGCCTCTCCTGGCCTATGTGGGCACCAGGCACAAAAGTGGTGCGGATATACATGCAGACCAAACAGCAATGTATGAGAGAGAGGGAGAGAGAGAGAGAGAGAGAGAGAGAGAGAGAGGCTTTTGTTAGGAACAAATAGGGAGAGGGCAGGTAGCTCCATGCCTGGCCATTCTTGACCATTGCCACCCTCCCTCCTTACACCTGGAGGGAGGAGACTCCAGCTGTGACAGCTAAGCCACTGGCCCAGTGTCACCAGCTGACCAGTGGCGAATGCAGCACAAAGCTCAAAGCTGTGTGACATCAAAACCTTCTGTCCCAATGCAGCAAGTCACTCTGCCCACAGCAGGGCTTCAGCTTATTTGTGAGCCCGCTCCTCCCACCTGCTCAGGGGTCATCCTAGTCTTGTAGGTTCCTGTCTGTCCCATTGGAACTGGATCTGGACAGTGCATTCTGCAAAGGAGTCTTCCCCTTCTCCCAATGGCCTCTGCAACCTCTGACTATCTCCAGAGCCACTGGGCCCTAGGCCCTCCACCAAAAAGTTCAACTCAACCAAGACTTACCAGTCCCTTGAGAGCTGCTGACTCCAGCCAGCCTGGATTCCTCTGTGCTGCGTGGAAAGAGGCCAGGCTTCTCCGAGCTTCCCGCAGTTGCCTTCCCCCAAACGCACAGGTGGTCTGTCTCATCCCAGCCTCTGACCTTCCACACTTCCTCCACGTCCGCAGAAGTCATGCATGGCTTCTTGTCATGCCAAAAGTTAGCTATACTGAGACCTTTGAGGTTGGTAGACCCAAGCTGCCTCTCCCAGACTCTCTCTCTCATTTGTAACATGAATCACTCACTCCCCAGGATATGAGGCACGGGTGTGATTGGCAGGTAAGCAGCGTCCTCTGCTGAGAGGGACAGCAGATGTGTCACAGCTTCCCTGTGGCTCTAGTGCAGTATTCTCATGGCCCCCAAAATGTGAAAACAGTCCAGAAACCTCCTCAGACCAGTTCTGCTGCAGCTGCCCATCCCTGCCCGAGGCGCCTGCCTCTCACCCGGGCGCCACAGTTCTAGTGGCTGCTCAGGTTGTTCTCAGGAGCACACACTATCCATTCCTGCCCTGGTCAGGAGGCTAGAGGCAGGACTGCAGGCTTGGACAGCTTAGTAAATTCTGAGGGTACCAGCCAGGCTAGGGGGACCCATGGACTCTCCCATCACTCCTGTTGGGGTAAGGACATGTTTGTCCCTGCTGCTACTCAGCTTAGTAAAAAGAATGGTGCATTTGAGCCCAGATGCATAGACAAACTTAATCATTTGCCTTCCCTTCTCAGGGAGCATGGGTTCTAGGAAGGCCTGTGTTCCCATGTGTCCCCAGTAATGCCAACACACATCTCATGAGATGCCTGCTGGGTCAGCAGAAGTTAGAGGAGTACATAAATGGTGGGGGAGGGGAGTCTGTGGCCCCTACCAGGGAAATAGGACAGGATAGTGACCTCCCTCCCCAGAGCAATGGCTAAAAACACTCGTGAGTCACCACCATCCAAGGAGTGTTCAGCTAAACCCTGAACCCTGTACCCTGAACCCTGGCCCTCCTTTTCTCTCCAGCTCCCCAATTTATTTCTTGTTCAACCTTTTAGGCCTGACATCGGTAAGTCTTCACCTGCCCGAGAAGCCCGTTTGACAGGACACATGAGGTGGTTGGAACCACCTGGCCTCTGCCTTTGTTCTTTGAAGCCAGGACTTTGCATGGTGGAGAAAGATTCTGGGTCTGAAAGGAGGACGTGGAAACTTGGCCTCTCTCTGAAGCCCTTGGCTCTACCCACACCTACTTCTAGAAATTTTGGTCATACTTACACAGCAATGCTCCATATAGACTTAAACATGACATCGACACACAGGATCCCAGGTGAACATGGACAAGCCACACATACAAGCACAAAGCACATGTGCACACCCTTGGCCACACAGGCACACAGACACAGATGCAGAAAGCGGCACTTGCTGCTCCTGGGGTTCTGAACCCCCCTGACCTGTGTCTCCAGCACCACACACCACTGTCTTCACTGTCTGTGTGGTCAGGATTGGTGTGACCTTGAGAAGCAAGAGTCGGGATGCTCAGAAACCCGAGGCTTGTCCTCAAGTTTTCCCATCAGCTCCAGGTGGTGTCTTTGACTGCTCAGAGCTGAGGTCCTGCTGAGGAGAGGAGAGAGGTGGACAGACATGGACTCAACTCATAAGTCTGTTTATTCCAGACCTGCACTGGGAATCATA